TTCCCGAGAACATTCCTTCTTTATCTATTCCAAGAATATTAAGTGAATACAATTATTCAAAACAAATTGATATTCTTTGACTACGGCTTTAGTTACTAACGAGTTAAAAAACTTAAATTCTGCTTTTTGTGTCTAAGAATACACAATATTTTAACTATTCCAAAAAAACAGATTTAATTGGAGCCCCCAGTTCCCTAGCATTAAGATTGTTAATACTAATTGTTTGTTGCGAAGTCTACACAGCCTCTGTTGTTTTCGTATTTTCAAGTTCTCTTAAAGGTTCTCTATAAAGCATCTAACAATAAGCCCCCATTCTTTCTATGTTCAAATAACCAACTAACCTAGTTTTTCTAGTGAAGTTACTAGCAAAACGCGAATATCATTCCATTATGTAGCTTAACTGTAAGATCGGCGCAATATTGATTGCTATTACGGTACGCTGTTTCTAAACTTAGATGGTCTTCCTTAAGAAATATATTGATTTGTACTTCTTCTAGAGCTGACGGTAAGAATTTAATAAATAAATAATATCGTGTGCAATCTTGATTAATATAAATTTAAGAATTCAAAATTTGCATTCAGACAAAGTTTTATGCATTTGCAATTTCAATAAGAAGGGTTTATTAATACCGTAATAATTACTTTTATTACTGAAGATTAGATTCAGTTCTGACAATTACATTCAAATTAAATTTTAAGGATATAATGAAAATAACGCAACGCAAAATACATTTTGGATAAAAAATGAGTTGATTTTTTATTTTTTAAACTTTTAATTCATTTAATCAACATCGTACCTCGTTGTTAATTGATCCAGAATTTGGTGTCTTTATTATTATTTTACTTTGTCCACAGAACCTGCTGACTTTTCCAGCCATTACGTAGCGCAGAATCATTCTACATAACCATGAACTTCCATAATTCGTCTCTAAGGGTGTGTATGTTTATTTTCATGACGTTTTAAAAATGATTATTCAAATTTATGTTTCTATAAAATATACTCTGCTTTAAAATATGATAATAGTATCAGCCCGCTCTTTCAGCACTTCAAAGCAACAGTTTGTTTAGAAATAAATTATGCAGTTATGTCATAAATTCAATAAATCAAACAAATTCTCGTTTTAGACATTCGATTTTAAACGAATCAGTGCGACGATAAAACGCCGAAGTAAAAATTTACTCTTCACTTACTCTTATTTTTTAAAAAAGAAAGATACGAGAGAAATTTAAAAAATAGTAAAAATTTAATATCATCTATAATTTAAAAAAATAGCCGTCATAGTATTAATAAATATTTATTACGCATCATTGAGGTAACAAATTTTAATATTAACCTCCGAAAATTTTACTTGAATTTTTTGTAAATCGCTGTGCATTCACTGTAACAAATATAAACCGCATTGGCGTTTATCGCCCCCAAAAGATGCCAATTTAAACCAAAATATTAAATTCATTATACCTAAAAATTTTGAATAAAGTCGAATGTTTGCAGATATGCTTAAAATACCTCTTTAGATGAAAAGTTCCTAAAAAAAGAAATATAATATTTATCAATTCATTAACATTGAAACTAAAATTTTTGAGAGCTATATTTAAAAACTACTAGTTCGATTTTTACAAAACTTATATTCTGGCATAATTTGAAGTAGAATCGAAATATGGAAAAAAATTGATATGTTATTTCAGAAAAAGTCCAATTTTATGTCAAAATACCTATGTTAGATTAGTGCTATATATAAATCAAATATATATCTTAAGTCGCGCTTTCGATCGGCCCAGTAGAACGGGAGATATAGCACTGTCCCTTTTTTTTTTTTTTTTTTTTTTTTTGAGCAGTGTACATATTTGATATAGTCCAACACAAAGCACAACTTTATCCACTAATAATTTTTTTAAATAAACCGATGATAAATATCCTCATATTAGACTAGAAGAGAAACACGCCAATGTGACAATCAAAATCGTAAAAAACAACCTTATATTTAGCGTAGGTATAATGAAAACACTCAATCTTTCGAGGGCAGCTAAAGTCCCTCCTCATCAGGAAAAGATTACCTAGAAAAAAAATAGGAATCACAAAACACGTGGGCTTATCACACTGCACGTGGTTATAACTAATTTTTAATCAGTTGCACGGCCGCCTACTTTTACTGAGCCAGGCTGTCTATCAAGCATAAAGAATATTAGCGAGTTAAAATAGGGAGCGAGGCAAATGCACCTTACGCTCAAATCTGACTTCAAATAATGAAAGCCAATGCCAATATTTAAAAAATTTCGGAGTTCCTATGGATCAAACCATCTACCCTCCACATCAATTAATAAAAGCGAGCAGAAATAAGAAAATTTGGCAGAAGTGATTTACTTGATGCACACTAGAGGGAGCCACAGGCTCGAGAAAGTTTAGGGATAGAGATGAGAAAATAAAAACTTAAGTTTCATAATTTTTGCAACCACTGAACGGATTTTTATACCCTCTGGTAGTACCAAGTGCGAGGAGGTAACGCCATCTATTGGCAAACATAATTGAATTAAGACAGTAGAATTTTAAAGGCATTAGGAAGGACTGGATTGGACTTCAAATCATTAACTACACTTTCTAAATCTTTGTGAATGTGAAAAGCCTCAAGAAAATCCAATTCGCCTATGGAAGAAGCTTTGCATAGGCAATTGGATTTCTGGCTTTTCACATTCACAAAGATTTAGAAAGTGTAGTTAATGATTTGAAGTCCAATCCAGTCCTTCCTAATGCCTTTAAAATCTACTGTCTTAATTCAATTTTTTTGCCGATAGATGCGTTACCTCCTCGCCTGGTACTACCAGGGTATAAAAATCGTTCAGTGGTTGCTTTCCATATTTGAAGTTCTATTTTGAGCGTAATTGCATTTGCCCCTCGCTCCCTATTTAACTTCGCTAATTGTTCTTTATGCTTGATCAACAGCCGGCTCAGTAAAGTAGGCGCCAGTGCAACTCTGATTAAAAATCTAGTTATAACCACTTGCATTGCTGATAACACCACGTGTTCTGTGATTCCTATTTTCTTCTTCTTTATGTTTTTCTCTCTGATAGGAGGGACCTTTAGCTGCCCTCGAAATCGATTGAGTGTTTCATTATACCTACGCTAAATATAAGGTTGTTTTTTACGATTTTGATCCTCATATTATTTCAATATCACATTTCTTCAGGAAGCCTAACAATCTGCTGATAATATGCTATGGATTTGGAACAACAAATATTTAATAATTACAAAAAGCCGGATTTATAAGGAAGTAAAAGAAGGATTTAATTGTTTTTAACCCAATCTGGAATTTAAACACCTGTTTGATTATTTCACCGGGTGCACAAAATATCGTCCGATCAGAGAATTTTCCCCCATTGTCTTCGAAGATGCATTTTCTTTTAAATTCTCCCAGAATCACTTCACATTAAGGCATTCGTTAGAAATAGGCAAAGCTTTCAGGCAACAGTTCTGTAATAGTAATATTATTCATTGACTGTGATAGTAATATTATTTATTCATACTGTCAGTTGACACTTACCTAGCAGCTGCCCAGCCACAGTTCGTCCATCCTCTCCGACCACGGCATTCCGGGCGTCCCATGTGTCAGTGTACTGAACAAAAGCATAGCCCTTGTGCATAGAAATGCCGATGAGGCGACCATAACGGCTGAAAATACGCTCCACCTCTTCTTTGCCGACCACATACGTGTTGAGGTTACCCACGAACACGCGACTGTTAACAGATTGTGGATCGCTGCTGTTAGTATGGTTCCCGACACGCGTCATCGCTGGCACCGGTGCTGCTGCTGCTGCCTCCACGCCTAAACAAATGAAACACATCGTTAATGTTTTGCGGCTAATAAGACAAACTTCAAAAATTAAGAAAACCATGACTAAATACCGTGATAGTCTCCACAACAACAATATATTTGTCAGTGATCCCATGCGGATTTAAGTTCTTTTTCAGAAAAATTACAATCACGTTATAATATACTATTGTTTAGATTATGTAGCTAATAATTGTTGGCCTACATAAAAGATAGATGTATATGTAAAAGAAAAGAATTATAGAATACTTAGAATAAAATATTTGTTATATATGGAAGAATGAAATACTTGTTCTACTTAATGGGTAGGGTAACGGGAAAAGTTAACTGTAGTTTTATTTAAAACATTTTCTCAAGTTCATAAGAAGACAAAATTATAGCAATTTAATATTAATTACTATTGTATAGATAGGGTTTCATTAACACTTTTGAACTTCTAATATTTCAGTTTCATACTGTAAACAAACAGAATAAAAATTTTGTAAATGAACAGAGAAAATTAATTGCATAAATGAATAATATAACAAAAGAATTTACGAAGATTCGCAGCTATGTTGTCTGATTCACAGAATGTTCTACCCTTTATACTTCTGACAAAAACTTGACTTTGTTCATATACCCTATACAAATAATATAACATATAAGGAAACGAAATTTAATTTCCATTTAGTGTTATGACATGTAACATTTACTTAAAAATTCAAAATACTTAATATATCTTCCCTTTGTTGTGGCTCATCTCACTTATATAAGCCAATGATAAGGAATCAACGAATTTTATGGCAAGAAGCGCACGATTGTGTTTTTCCTCGGCGTGGGGCTTCAGTACCTTATAGTTCAGAGCACGACTTTGTCCAGATCCGTTTTAATGTTGATGGAGAACACCCAGGCGAACAGGTCGGAGGGTCTCCAACCCCTCTTCTCTTATCATAAAACACTCCAGAGAACTTTCGGCTTGCCGTGTATTCTGATTGTCTCCATGCCGTAGAAACACTATACGCTTACAAAACACCCACGCTTCCTCCAAAATTCGAATCCGCACCCAACGAAAGATTCAGCAGCCATGAACTCTAATCACTATACTTACCAGGCCAGCAAGAAAGAAAATAGCGTTCCTTGTAACTGCCAAATTAACTTTCGTTGTAAATACTGAAAAAGTAGCTTAATAGATTTCTGTTTATTGCTCTTGCTTTTCTGCATTCACTGCAAGATTTTAATTGAAGTTATTACGTCAGATATCTAGTAGCTGTTAAAAATTAGGTAGAAAAATTCTAAAAGTTCAAGCTGTATAGAGGTGATTAATTGAGTTAGAGATTTTAGCCTAGGTCTTATGCTGTTAATTAAACTTTAAAAATTGCCGCGTAATTGATCACAACAGAAACAATCAACGTTTTTACTTCCTTGTACGAAGTAAAAAGGAAGTATCGTAATCGCGAAAAGTTTCAGGCAACATATTTCAACGAAAATATCCATTTTGACCGCTATCGAATGCAATTTAACGATGTTTTTGCGTGATATCTGTACTAAGGACAGAATAAAAGACTCTTTTTTCCTCCAAAAATTATAAAACTGCTTTAAAATTAATTCTGAAGAGAATTTTTCGTGGCGTCTGTACGAACGTTTGTACGTACGTACGTACGTATCTCGCATAATTTAAAAACGAGTAGCCTCAGAACATTAAAATTTTGTATATAGGACTGCTATAACATGCAGATGTGTACCTCGTATTTTGGTTTCAATCGGCCGCACCAAACGTATATAAATATATTTATATATATAACCACTCTGTTACCCGGCTCAGTGATCTCAGTTTCTTTACTCTTATATGTTTGTAAATTGTATATTTTTGCTTTAAAAATGATTGAATTATGTTGTTTTTATCTTCCGATTAAGGTTTTCATGCCTTTCGTAATTTCTGGGAGCATATTTGTACAATTATCAACAATTTAAAAGCTGTTTAAGTGCGGTTAAGTTTTAAATAACATGGGGACATATTTGTTTTTACTTTGAAACAGCAGAATTGTGGATTTGTTGCCAATCTAGAGAGACTAAGCTTCGCAACAACAAAACAATCGCCTTCATTTATTATTGCGAATTAAATCATGTAATCTTTCTTTCTGGAATTTTTTCGAGAAAAATAAGTTTAAAGATTTACTTCGTAATTTTTAATGCGGATATTTTGAGTTTTTATGTATTTTTTTTTCCTTGTCGCGATGTGAGAACTGAATTAATTGAATAGAATACTAATCGTCTGTGAAAAACTGTTTCTTTTCTTTTTGTTTGCTTAATTTCTTTCATACATCGTTTTAGCTTTATTACAGTATTTAATGAACATGTGGCAACGATAATTCGTCAAATGATATAAATTTTGTGCATTCAGAGTTTCGTTATAGTAAACAAATATAGTGAATTTTAATGAGTGCATTTATTCTATTGTGGTTTATGCGCTGTCGACGAAGTAGATTTAATTCAATCTAATCAATCTAAATGAAATTCAGGAAAAAGAATGCGTATAATTTAATATTCCGTACAAGGAAGTCATGTGGTGTACACATCACATTTTTTCATTACGTCACAATGGACGATAAATATCAAAATATAAAGTACAAAGCAAATTATATATGATAATGATTTTCTTATACGATAATAAAAATAAATATCTTAAATGCAGATTTTTAGATAGAGGGAAAAAAACTTTCGTTGTTAATTTAGTGATGCACATGTAGCATAAATCAAGCAATTGCTTTCAATAGAAATCCAATATAAGTACATTCCTTTTTTTTTTTTTTGTGATCTGCTGCCATTACCTGTTCAATCCATTTATCGATCACAAAGAATTAAAAACAGTAAAAAAAAAAAGGGGGAATAGAGTGGCCACACCTACCATTGGCGTGCTTAGAATGTTCAGATTAGTCACTGGAAAGCAAAGGAAAAAAAAAGAAAAAAAAAAAAAAAAAACACCACACGTAATATCTACCTCTACCCACTGAACAAATTAGAGAAGACGATCACTTGCGTTAGCTTCACTACCCCATTTCTACAAGCTGAAATATTGATCATGTCTTGAAGAAAATGGTAGCTTACGGAATGCACTACATATATATTTAGTTTTTGTTTCTAATGGCATTTTTCTGAAAATTAACATTAAAAATTATGCTCGGTATTTATTGATGTTTCAAGTTTCCTGTATATTACTGAGCAGTTAATATTATCACACGTCACTTTAATAATATTTTGTTAAATGTGCGAGTTATGCCGATTCCAATATACTTTAATGTGTTGATTACAAAATGAAATCAGACTTTTTCTATCCGCGAGAGATTTGCTGCTTTAATACAGAATTACCTTCCCTCAAAATTTACCTTTATTTTTTTTTTATTCTTCGCTAGATTATTCAGATACCTGAAGTGATAAAACCCAGGAGAGGAATGGTGCGCGGCCAACTTCCACCAAGTTGCCGGTACCTTTTTGAAAGCCGGTTTTTGGCTCCCCAAAGCAAAAGGAGTGCCCGGCACCCCTTTGAATTCCAGTTTATACAATAAAGAATGCAAGCTTCATGACGCTCAGGTAAAGATCTAAATGTACCGTCGCCGACAAGCACAAAGTTTCCGGCACTATTTGAAATTTCATCATGTTTGGCCTAGTTTAATACGTTTACCATTAACTTATCTTTTAAATTTATTTATTATATATAAACATCATAAATATTTAATGATACTAAGACATATCTGTATGTATGTAATATATTCAGGAGCTGGAATTTTGATGGCGTAGAAGTGTTGAGCCATAATAACTAGGAAATTGGAGGCAAAGGTAGATTAATTCTTCAGTTTTATTTTCAACAACATGTTACAGCTACACACAAGTCAGCACATTAAATGTGCCTGTTCCAAAAAGCTTGCATTTTTGATAATTTTGTAGCAAGAAAGCACCAGCAGTCTAGCTAGGCCAAAGCGTGGAAAACAAGTACATCATTTTCAGGGTGAAATCTTATTCAGACTGAGTTAGTTTTGGTTCTCAAAACGTTTTGATTGGATAGTTAATATTGCTGTAAAATTATTATTCGCTGCTTGAGTTTTAGTTCAATTTACATCACCAGAATTACGCAGGAATCATATGGCATAGATTTTTCTCCAAATGAAGCAGTGCAAATAGAGGTTGCTATTTTTAGAATACCGAAGCTGCTAATTTAATCTTTTACGTATTCTTTATTTTTCGTACATATATATATATATATATATATAATTTATCAGCAAGCAGTAAAAACAATTTTTGGTCAAGAAACATCTTGCCCAATATCTGCAAAATAAGTAAAATAAAAATTGTAGAAAGCTCGCCTAAAGTTACCAAGAGCTGCCGCTCCAAAGGTAAAGACGTTTTCAAAAATCAATACACATGAAAAGCAAACATTAGACATGTAAAACATAAATACAATAAAATTAAATAACAGAAAAGTTAAAAAGTAAGCGGAAATGTAAATTAGCCAATCGATACATACAGGCTTTTCAGGGAAATTTCATTGTTTGAACGTCGAATCAAGCTAACCCCATTACGCGTTTCGCCGAAACCGACAATTGAAACTTTTACGCTAAAAATTTTTTGACAAAGGTTCTTGGAAATTTTAATAGTCTCAATTCTCTGTTCCAATTTCCCGACGCGTCCGCTTAGAAAGACACATTAAGGTGTTAAAATATGTAAATCAAATCAAACTTTCTAAATCTAGTCTAAAATTAAAATCAAAACAAAATAAATAGCGATGAGCTATTAGTCCTAAAATACAAGTACATTCGGGCTGGGCCTGCAAGCTTGAAGATTAACAATAATTTTTAAATTGTAGATTTTATAAAACTGTAAGAAAACCTGTATTAATAATCAATAAAAATTTAAAAAAAAAAAAAAATTGAGAAAGACAACTCAGGTGTCTTGCTAAGACAGAAAAGTTGTAACAAAAAAAAAACTGACCTTGGCGATGTAAAGCTGTCCCTCTGAAAACATGTAGTAAAATGGCTGCTAACTTTAAGCATCTTATTTTTGGATGACGTAGGTAGGGGGGAGCGAAGAGTTGTGGGAAGTGATTTTCGTTATCTGTAACTCGTCTCCTATTATCGGAGGGGGCCGGAAACCTCGTGAATCGTGTTAAGAGCTCAAAAAATGGCGCTTGGCTTGTATATATAGATATATCTTAGCATAATTAAATATTTTTTTTCAAATGACTGTATTGTTTATTGTTGCACAAATTTTAGAATTATGATTAATGCTTCATCCGTTTTTAAGGCATCGATATCCAGGTGAAGGATGGACTTACGACTGCTGGCGCTTCGGGAATCTTTCCGAATTACCGACAGCCTCATCTCCATCTAACGAAGAAATCTTAGAGAGGTACTTGTAATCACAGCAAAACCTCTAAAAGAATAATCCTTTCTCCCATTCAACAAGAAAATGTTAAATTTTTATTGTGCTAAACTGATGGTCTGTTAAATGCTAACCAACTAACAAAATTTATAAAGTATTATCAATATTTGCGGCAGTCGTCAAAAAGGTCAATCCCTCAGACGTTCTACTGTGCGTCGATATTTTTCAAAACAGTAGTTTGTGTTTTTTTTAATGCGCAGAGTAGAAGACGCAGTAACTGGATATTAATTATAATTTGTGTTGTAGGTATTTAAATATTTGAATTTCTGATACCAAATAAGTAACGTTTTATTTCATGTCTGTGCTCTTGAGAATTCGCCCTTACAAAATTTACGTAATTATTTTACGAAATCACAGAGAGTTAATATGAAAATATAACAGCAGTTTTTATAGTAGAAGTAAAAACATTTAAAAAAATTCACGTGGATGGAAAATACATGTAAATGTTTAGCAGAAATATACCTAAAGCCTTGAAATATGCGAAAATTATACATAATATCTACTATGAATAAAAACACAGTTTCCAAACAAAAACTAAACCTAGTTTTCATATGTCATTTACATCTATTGTAAATAAATAAAAATAAAGGAACTATGTGCTATTTTACTATATTTCTACTATTTTTAGCCACTTTTTTTTTTTTATTTTTGCGTATTTTATGCACATATTTAATATAAATTTTGATTTGAATATTGCATGTATTTTTTACGTAATTTTACTAATGCACGCCACCTAAGATTTATTAATAAATTTCTGAAACTGAATATCGTATAAATGGTTTTTCGATATTTGCTTTATACTGCTTTTATATCGTTTTATAACTCTCTTCTTATCATTCTGTTGCCACAGAGTATGAAAGAAGCATAGAATGTGAAAAAGGCTTCGAACTGCTACATATTGATAGACTAGAAATATAATTACTCTTTCCACGAAGTAAAGAAGAGGAACGAAAATCACTTCCATGTAAAACATACTGTATTATTAATACTGGGAAAGTTTATAGAAATCCTAATAAAACAGGAATAGTACTGAAAAAGTGAAAAACCATCACATAGTCGAGGTAGAGTTAATGTTATGCCATATTCTAAAATATATCTTTTCCTTAAATGCACTTCTCTTTCTTCCTTTATGAGTATAAAACTACAAAGCTCAAAATATTAAAGTTAGCGGAGTGTTTACAAACCATTTGAGCAATTACAACAAAACTATGTGAATATATCATTCATTCTTTTTGGCAGATCTTGCCACTGGGTGGATGATGAAGTATTTGTCGTCTACAAGCCTCTCGCATAACCAGTTCTCAAAGTGTTGCCGTTCCGCAAAAGTAAAATTTATAATTTATTAGCCCAAAGGGTGTTAGCCCAGAGGGGCTATTAATTTCGTTTTAGCATTTCATTATAAACGGCGTTTCATTTTCTAAATTGTTGCCACCAAATAATACAGCCCTGCATTATATTTAAAGAAATGAAATAATGAAGAAATACGCATTAATGTACGTATGTATGTTTCTCGCACTATGAACAAATAACGTTATCTAGAGACATCAAATATTGTATAAGTAGAACATAAGAAGTAGAAGTGTATAAGTAGAACATAAGAAGTAAGGTATAATCTTTAACTGATGTGATCTGATTTGTTCTAAACCTGAGAAGGCGGTATAGTTGGATGACTGTCATTGAAGATTTGTAATATAGTGTAATACTCAATTATATATATTGTAAAAAGATAATTGTCTTCACTTATACTGTTACTAAAAAAATGGGCCTATTTCATGCTTTAGTCTGTCTAATAGCTCTTGACAGTGAAAATTCCTTTTTTCCTTCTTAAATTCTTAATAATTGCGACACGACAATTAGCCAGAAATTAATTAATTTCCATTCACTAGTATTTTCAAAAAAAAAAAAAATCTTAACAACAGTCTCACTCAGATAAGAACTCCACATAATACACCCTCAAGATTCCAAGTCCCACCCACTACCATAAATTACTTCACCCAAGTCTTACCGACTGATTATTCAAAGCCCAACTGGCCGCTAAGAATTTTCGGACACCCTACACTTATGAGTCAGACACGAAGAGAACACTTTGCCACTCCCCCACTAGAAAGAATGTAAGTTACTTAATACCTTTTTCTGGCCTTTATATCTTCATGTACATTCACTGTTCTTATTTATTTATTTTTTATATTATTTTTATATTGTCTTTGATTTGTTTTTACAAAGTTTGCATTATTTATCTTATTTTGTAATCTTCTATGTTTATTTTCAACTTTACTTTGAATTCGATTTCATAATGACAATTCCAATGTTTAATTTTTACAAATAATATAGTACTCAATGCAAAACATGAAAGTGTCGGGAACGGTTACTCGGGTTAATTAGGATTTCTCTACAGTAATTGTTTTTAACTCCAAATTGAATTGACTAAAATGCTTCATAAGAATAAGTTCTTTGATATCAGCATTGGTTCATAATTCCTTCTATTCGCGAAATATTTGGCTGACTAGAATTGCCGGTTGGCTTTAACTTATAACTCGAGTAAAGACAAAACTTCCGTATTTACGTATTTTTATCAATTATTGTTCATTGAACGGGAGTTGGTTTGTTTCCCCTTGAAAAGTCAACTAATTTCCGAGCAATGACAATGATTACATGTTTTTAATTTTTCCTTTTACAATTGAAATTTTATTCTTCATGAAGATTTAACTCCAGTCCCCGTTAAAACATTATTAACATTTTTTTTTTTTTCAAATTACTTCAAAACATCTTTCAAAATATAACTTACCAGTATGGATTCACACTTTTAAAATAATTCTACTTTAATTAAACTTAGGAGATAATATAATCAATTAATCAATACTGTTTAGGAAATAAATTATTAAAACATTGTATAAGTATACACTCCAATGTGGCATCTGGGAAACCCAAATTTGGAATGTGGAATATGTTTTATTAACTATTTTATATTTTGTAAAATTTTAAAGAATTTTCAGTTAACAAACTCGACGACTTCAAACCAAGCAATGCAACACTGTACAGAAAAGAAGAACATTTTTATCTCCAGCGCGCGAGACTATGTAATCGAAAATTAAAAGATATGCTCATTTTAAAATTATTTTGCGATATTGCTGTTGAATTTAATTTTATGATTTAAGTGCGAAGAGCATGATATTTAATAAATAAAGATAACACATGAAAAGTTTAAAAAACGCCCCTTTGAGCGTAATATATAACATGAAAGATTTCAGATTTTTTTTTATTTTCTTTCAAACTTAATTAATTTTTATTTTCTTAACAAACTGAGCAATTTAAAAGTTTTCAGTGAACTTCTTAATTATTTAGATCTTTATTTTTTTAATATTGCGTTTGTCTAATACAAACTAAAATGCCTACAGTGATATTATTAGTAAAAATATCTCTAACACCACATATTACGTGTCCAGCAAAGAATCTTTTGTTTATTCTTAAGATAAACAGTAAAGAATACAAAACCTATGCTCTTCCAAATTTACGTTCTAAATACATTCTGCTTAAACATAGCTTTAATTTAATAAATTTTAAATTAACTTTCTTAAATAACATTAATAGCAGTCTTAATTAATAATTAATAATTAAGACTAAAGTAAAACCTAAAAGGGACAAGAATACGGAAACACATTTTCGTATGATTTTTATGTCACTACATTCTTCTTTCCGATTTTGGCAAGGCTTCTTACTGTTTCTTTTTGTCGAACATAACACGTGTAGGAATTATGTTCGTGAAATATTTGCCAAAATCTATTTTGAGCAGCCCTTTCAGAGAAATATGCATAGTGTAACTGCGTCATCACTCGAGAGCTTATTACTGTTATCCGTTTTAATCAAAATAAATTGGAAGGGAACCACCACTGAATAAAAATAAAACTGATACAACATTTTGCATTGTACCAGAACAATATGCCTTCGTCAGAAGGAAATCAGTATCTCTAGACACCTCGGGATATAGAATTTAACCGGTTTATTTTTTCATCTTAAAAGCATTCTCTGTTATGATGTTGAGCTTCAGTTTTTAGCACTTTTAGGATTTCAGGGAAAAAGTGCCTTTTTAAATTTTTTTGTAATCTTTCATCAAAACCATCAAAATATTCAGAAAGTTGATTCCTTAAAACTTTTATTACGCTTATTAAGGCACATACTCTTATTTTGAGAGTAATGGAAATGAAAGTCGTATTATTACGACTTGCCAACTTTGAAGTCTGAAAAATAGGAAGATTTTTGCGGGAAAGCTGGGAGAATTCGAGAGATTCTTACGCTCTGCGGAGACGCGATTTTAAGAGAACAGCAAATTGACTTTAACCAAATTTATAAAGCATGATTTATACTACTTTAGTATTTACAATGGAATTCTGAAGTAAAATATATTAATATTTATTTGGACGTTCTAGATTTTAGGTTCTTTTGGCTAATTTAATTTCATTTTGTAATTTTCTTAAGCACTCATACCGAGAAAACACTGAATAGGAAAATCAAAGCTTTTATTTTTCAAAGTACTTTTAAAGAAAATGAAAATAAAATGAACGGCTAATACTAAATAATAAAATTAATTAATTAATTAAAATGAATATTTAAAATACTGTGGAATACATGGAATAAACAATCTCTTCTCTTCATATCGGTTAGGTTTACTATCCCCTTCACATCGTTTCGATTTAACCATGTATGCAGATTCGATATTTTTGATGAGAAACCTGCTTTCACGTTCTATTTCGCTTAATGTCTTGGTCGGTCATGTCACCATTCGAATGCATTTTCTGGTTTTAGGGTCGAAAAGACGATGCTGCTTTGGTAACGAAGAAATGAGAGGGTAAAAGCTGAAAATTCATAGATTGGATGATTTGTCGGAAAAAAAGATAAAAGACCGAGAGTTTCCCGATAAAACTAAAAGAGTCAAAAATATGTAATATCTAGGATAACAAGAAGGCACTCTG